TTCTATTAGCAATCTTTTTTCAATTTCTTTAGAATATATAAAAAAATTTATTTTTATTTAGCAAGAAAAAAAACTCTCTGTAATCTAAAAGTCTAATCTATTTACTATAATTTCCTTTAGCTTCATGTCTGTATCTCTTTATTTGAAGGATCTGATGCAATTTTTATTTATATAGTTTTTACATATATTCTTATTTTTTTTAAAAAAAGTTTGTTATTGATCAGCATTATGTTACATCACCCAATTTTGATTTAATTAGGGCATCTCACACCCCAGTCATGTTTGTATATTTTTTCCAAAATTCATTGTGAATTGAATTTCATTGAATGTTATTGGGGAGCAGCCAAACAATACACACGAAACAATTGTAATTACATATGGAGTGGGTTACAAGAAACAATTCCTCATGCTTTAGATTCTGTAGATTTAATAACTATTTGTGGGTTTGCAAGAAAAACATGGAGATACATGGATTTATATAGGTATGGTATTACAGGTAGATTAGCAGAATATGCTGTTAAGAAATACAAATCACATAGAAAAATTCCTGAGAATGTATTAGAGGAGTTAAATTAACGTTAATAAAAATAATTTTTAATAAATAAATTTGATAATTTGATTTTTATAATTTTTGATTGGATAAAAGTCATGTGTCACATTTATGATCGGCAAAAACAAAATTCGGACTGTTCGGTTTTTAGATGACCTGCACCATACCCATAATCTCAGCACATTTCTAAAATAATGTGTGAATAGTTATAAGAAAGAGGCCTTAATAGTCTAACAAAAAGAATTTATAGATGTCTATTTGCTATTTTTTTATTAAAATACAAGTGCAATAAGATGTTATAGCAGCAAAAACGAAGTGTATGAATTTTTTATTATAAAATGTTGACGATCAATTATTAAAATTCCTTCCTTCTTAAAAGGATCACGAATTAACTAATTTAATTAATTGGTCAATTAATTGGTTGAATTCCCCAAATTCTTTTGTGCCAATTTGTACACCGTCATCTAATAAGATATAATTGGATCATTATTACTTATGTTTTATAAACTCGAAACTTTGAGTATTTAAAATTACCTCTAAATTTTCTAATTTTTTTATAAAAATCAGTCACTTCTTGATTTTTTCCTTTTTCCAGATAATTATCAAGAACTGCATAGATTGCGTTTATTTTATTATTTACATTTTTAGTTAACTCAAATTCAAAATTAATTTGAAGCACACAATCTATTAAAATTTTTTCTGACGACTGATTTACTGACATTTTTAACAAAACAATAGATAGAAGGAAGAAATCATTTTGAAATGGATTATTTATATATAAAAGATAGAAGAGACTGTATTGTTTTTTTGTTGACTAAAAAAACGAACCAATTAATGGTATAAAATATTAAAGACAATACGGGAATTTCCAAAAAACAATTATTTTATACGTATATTTAATTATATTCATGATGAATTGTTTTATGAATAGATTAAGTATATTCATTCACATGATTTTCAAGAAAATAGTTGACATAATACGAGTGGTTTCTTGTGATGAGTTTTTCGTAGAGAATATTTTTAAAAGATGATTACATTGTTTCGTTTATTTTATTATAATATCCATATAGTAATAATACTCATAATCAACATAATAATACAAATTAACTAACTACGTATTAACAAACTAACTGTGTATTATAATTGAAATTCTACATTGATTTTAGACGCCCACACGTTAAATAGGACTATTCAAATACGTGAAGCGTTTGTCTATTTTACTGTTTTCTTTATTCATTTATATATTCGTGTTTACAAGTAATGACCAGTGTAACTTAATTCAAAGATACTAATCATGGCATCTAAAATAATCATAATAATGACAACAATAACGACAACCACTATAATAATACTAATACTGTCAATACAATAGCATTCGCTTATGTCATAGTATTACATTCCAAAAAGATAATGATCGGAACTTGCATAGGTGTAGAAAAGATAAGTTCTATCTATACCTAAGATCTAATATTATTCATTTTTATTTTTTTGGAAGAAAACTCTACGACTTACGATTGTATATAATCAGAGGGGAAGAAAAAATGTTTGTTTTGTTGTTTTAATTTTGGTAATTCACTTAATTTACTATTAATTATTAGAAACAATAATCATTAAAGGTAGTATTTGTCCATAGCTTTTACCTTTGACGATCACAAAAACCCATATATTAATGATTTATTTAAAAAGCATGCATACATACAGGATTAACAGAGCTTAACGATCCTAATGGTTATTGTTTCATCTATCTCTTTGAGTTTGATATTGATTGGTTTATTAAAATTTAGAAAATAATATGTATATTGGTCCACATTTTGGAACTTTGAGGCAAATTGAAATATCGAATCAAAATTTTTTCTGAATAAAATTAACCGATCCTTGTTACATCATATTTGGACTTTTATCAATTAAAATCATTTTATTTTACTTATTACAATTTTTAATACAAGAGACCCATATTTAACGATTTAAAAACTTTCCGCGGGTGGCGTATTCAGGGATCCTATTGGTGGGTTTATAGAGTGATCTTCGATTGGTATTTCAGAAAAAAGATTTTACGCCAAAATTGACAAGTAAACTGACAATAAGGAGTTATATCCTTTATTAATAATCAACGAATTAACAAAATCATGATCATTAATTCGTTCTTTGGCGATAGCTCAAGTGATTGCTATAATTCAATTTCCAGGTCTAGAATCACTTCCCATGGAACTTAAAATGCAATTGGTTGAATATGGAGGAGTTATCGCCTTTTCTTCTTTACAACATCGTTATTTTGAACTTCAAGACGCTTGTTGATTCACTCCACTTTCAATCCCTTGGTTATCGATGCTATCTTATTGATTCAATATTAAATTTTAACATTTTACAAATCATAGAGATTGAAAGATAACCAAAACGCATACGGCGTTTTTACACAATTTTTAAGAAACATCAATTACTTCAAAGGAATTAATTACGTTGACTCGACCAAATATCGGGTGATCCAAATACCAAGATCATGCTCAACACAAACCTGCAAAAAGACATGAATGAAAGCGTTTAAAAAGATGCATTAGGACCCCGGACAATTATAATTGAGGTCTGCTAGAAATTTTATTTTTGTCATCCTAGGTCCATTTTAAAAAGCTGTGAGCATGAAATTTTGTCTCAATAGATGGTTATCTATTATCTATAACAATTTTATTTAAAAAATGAAATTTGATGATGTTACTTTTTTACTTTTATATATCCTGTGTCAGAAATGATGAATATATGACCAAAATTTTTCCATTGTTTATTCCATTAAAGAGCGAGTAGAAAAGAAAGGTCATTTGCAACTGGAATGATTGTCTACAATCTAGTAAACCTTTTTTTACTTTAAGAGGCAAAAAGAAAGTGCCCTTTCAAAGGATTTTGATGAGAGAGGTCCGATTAATGGAGTTAAAGTAAATGCTCAATTAGGTCTTGATGACCCCAACAAAAAAAAGAATTTCGAATGTTTAGCTAGTGAGGAGTTAATGAAAAAAATCTATATCCGTTAATATTACTCGCCGTTATAGCGAGCAACCTCCCTTTCCTCTTGAAAGAAGATGAATTGGTTATTATAACTTCTTGTCCTTTGAAAGGAGACTGATAAATTTGAAAAGATTATTCCAAGTTAATCATGCGACAATTGAAATTATTCTCCTTCTAAGGAAGGTGGGGTTATTTGTATCAAAAGAAAATATCCTGGATATTATTAGGTTTCTACCGGATAAACTCTACGTCTTATTTGATTATGCAATATTCACAAGCCACTACCTAATGTTTATCACCTAGAAATCAGTGTTGGTGGTTTCAAAAATGAAAGACGATAGCAGAGCATAAGAATCATACATATATGTACACAAAGAGAGAAGAAAAGGTTAATGCTGAATATATTTGATTATGACTGGTTACAACTTTAGTACTCGGTAGTATAGCCATTATTATTTATCATGTTTCTAAAAAAAAGTAAAGATAGATAAATTTGCCCATTTCACCTTCCCAAAAAGACTTTACCCATATTATTCTCCTTCTTCCAAAGATTTCCACATTTTCATTCTGCAAATTTATAGGTAGTTTTTTTCTTTCTTTAGACAATCTTCAAGTACCCGAATGTCAGTAAATTTAAACACACAATGAGCTATTGTCTCATCTTGTTCTTTTTTTAAAACGCTTTGTAATTCTTAGGAATAATTCTTATATTCCTTTAAATCAATTCGTAAAAATTGTCAATACTTTTACCAATATTGTCTTTAAGGAAAATCGTCTGTTTATAACCTCTCGATCCAGTAATTTGATAGGGGAAACAGGTTCCTTTGAAAGTTGTTGGAAAATTTTCCGAGAAACAGCTCTAATGGATTATAATGTTGATATTAGAAGAATTTGAAAAGAAGGTAAGAGAGTCTCGATAGTCGTAATTTTGCACCTTACCTTCCTTTGTGAAAACAAAGTGGCACATTGCAAGAAGATATCTCAGAATTGCAAATGCGTCAGGAAAGCAGGCCATAGATTAAGAGAATATATGAGGATAGTAAAAGATCCTTGATAAGTGTATGGGCAAAAGAAAAAGACACTAGGCAATAACCTAACTTTGTAAGAGTAATTAATTCAAAATAGATTTACCTTAAATTATGATTAAAAACTCGGAACAAGGAACAATGAAAATAAAACACAGGCAAGAGGCATTATAAATACAATTATAAAACTGTACAATTGTGGCATTGAGCAAATTTTCAACACTGAAATCAAGATTGTGGTATGTAAACATGTGATCACAAGGCCGTCCTAAGTTTTTAGATTAATAAAATAGTGTAAGTTTATTATTAATATTATTAAATTTAAATTCATTGAAAATTTTTAACGGCACCTTTTAAATTATTATAATGAATCCTCTGTCTATTATAACCCTCTAGACTTGGCTTGTTCTTCAAAAAAGATTACAATAACCATTTTTTATTAAAACAATTTTCAAAGAAAACCTCATTTTGAAATAATTACGAGTATTGAAAAAACAAAAGCCTTTACACTACATGACAAAATCGCCCCGTATGATTATTATTTAGCTACTGAAATATTATATTTAATGCAATCTTCCACTACTTCACCAAATATTGACAAATCTTTTCCTTATTATGTTAATATGCTTAATTTTTACAACAAAACCAAGTGCAAGAAGTGTATTGTGAGGGCGAGGATGAGAACAAAAAGGAAGAAGAAAAAGATGGAAGATATAGAACACAATATGGATCCAAATGATGTGTTCTTATAAGTGAGATCTGATTTGCTGTTCAGGTATACAACAAACCTAAGGAATATAAGAAATTTAAATCAAGATAAGGTGGCGATAAGTTGATATTTGTAGGTGATGTGTCTAGGCATAAAACTACGAGACAGATGTTATTTAAAAAACATCATTATGATGTATTTTTAATTAATGAACATAAAACTTCTAAATTATGTAACAATTGTGAATCAGTCATGGAGAATTTCATGACGAGAAAATCTAAGGCCTTGGAAAAATAATGATATGCTGATACGTTGTAAAAATCTCAATAATATCTAAAAGAACATGGAATCGAGAAATGTCCAAATACCTCGTTAGAAAAAGAACAAAACATATAGCTGTGACCTAATACGGCTCTTAATATGGCCAAGATTGTCCATTCTCTGCATATATTAGAAGCATACAAAATCTTGACGCGTTCAAAAATACACTAGCCGGTACTTTAGTTCCAGTACTTAGACTTCAATCAGGCATATCTTCCAATATATATTTTTTAAATAATAAAATTTATTTATAACTAGCTTGAAGTATGCACATAAAATTTCAAATTTCGATCTATATTTCCAATTATGAAACTTGAAATAAATGAAATTTTATCCAAAAAGATATTTTATTATTAATTTATCTCATAGCTTCTGAGTGCATTTTGGACGTAATAAGCTTTGGTCAATATCAATATGTTATTAACTGCTTATCGTAGTAACAGTTGATCAGCTTTCAAAATACTAAAACAAAAAAGTTTTACATCATTTTAAAAAAGTTAACTGATAAGCTTTATTGTTCATGGCTCAAGCTTCAAAACTTATCGGCTAGTTTTTTCTTAAACTAAAAATTGGCCGAGCCTTAACGTTTTGAGAAAGTAAATTTTGTGTAACAACTATTTTTTTTACAGGATTTATTATTCCTTTTTTTTACATTATATATAGCAGCAAATAAAAAAGTTTTAACGAACATATTAATATTTACATTAAAAGAAAATCATTAACACATTTGGTCATGTAAGTCAAAATATACGAAAATTATTATTCGAGAATTCTATTAACATGTAACGTAATACACGGGCGTTCCGGGCATTGGATTTTATACACCGTTGAGCATAACTCTAAAAAAATTCGAGACAAATTTTTTTTTGCATAAATTGACTCCCTTTTTTAAAGCTGAATTAATGGTGGTGGTTTTAAAATCTAACATGTGGATCATATCCGCATAAAAAAAATCTTGTAACGAAGTGTATACAGATTTGTTAATAATTTACAAAAATCTGCATATAGTTTCTGTATTTGGTTAGCATATATACACTATCCCCAGTATACCATTTTTGGAACACAAAGTCGAATTTATATTATTTTGGTTGTAATCATCAGTAGGACCCCAAAAACTATATAGACAGGTTGGTAACAAAAAATATGGTTTGACCCACACTGTGATTGGCTGATCAAAGAAAATCTTTCTAAATTTGGTATATTATTTTCCAAATTTGGTAATTTTAACAAAACGCTGCGGTTTTTTAGAATTGACCAGCTGCGGCAGTAACCTATCTATATAGTTTTCGGGGTCTTCACCGTAATCACGCGTGTATATTTATTCCAATTTCTTCCCAATTTCTAGTTTTTTTTTCTTTCTTTTCAACGCAAATAAATTTTTCTAATATTTTAGTTGGTCGCTGCTAAGTAATTATTAAGTAATTATTGAAATATTTATTAAAGCATATGACATAATAATAATAATAATATAAATATAACGACTATTTATCTTTTTTAGGAAAATAAAATAATAGAATAAAATAAAGGAATATAAAATTCGTCACATTCATTATTTATTTAGTTTCCAAAAAAAATCCCTCGAAATGAGCAGAACCCATAATAAAACCAAAAATGAAGTTTACAGTAAACAACGATTTTCATATGGCAACGTTCAATCATTATTAGAAACACAAGTAAATGCTGCCGACAATTTTATTTTTAACAGGTAAACTACTTTATTTGACATGGATGTGTGATATCATCTATCTATCTAAACCTGATATTGTCGTATTGGCGTTCTTAAATATTAAATTAAAAAGATTGAAAGACTAAAAAAGGATAATTAATTAGTCGATACATACTAAATTATTGCATATTGTTTTATGATTAGTTTGCCCAAAGATTGGAGGTATGAATTGATTATAGTCCAACAACCTGATCGCGCTAGAGCATGCGGATACGGAAACAAGGTGCATAAACATATTATATCATAATCGAATATATACATATATTACGATAATAAAAATTATTTATTTATTGTTAATCTAATTACATCAACTATTTTACTTGAATTTATTATTATAGGATGTAAGACCAATTAATCCTGCGGTTTTTCTTAAAATGAATGTCTACGATTCAAATGGATTAGTTGATATTGAGTAAGTATATTATTAATTGTTAATTGAATATTATTATTATTAAATATTAATTAAATAATATCATTTAGTGATGTTCCGTCACAATTTTTTATTGTTCATGCAAGAATTTTCAGCAGTAAAACAAACCATGAATTAATAATTGTCGCAGTTGATAATTACGATAAAAATTTGTCTGACGAAAAAATGGTGAATTTAGTTGGAAATCAAGTTTCAAATTCTCACAAAGTTAAGGATTTAAATGAAGAGAGAGGAATATATTTTGTTTTTTCTAATTTGAGCGTAAGAAGCATTGGCGATTTTTATTTAAGTTTCTCGTTATTTTATATTGGAAAGTTAGTAATTATTATTGTTGTTGTTGTTATTATTATTATTATTATTATTATTATTATTATTATTATATTATATTAATTTATTTTATATATAAATAATATATAGAGATTTATTTCAAATTAAAGATAATCCTTCTTGCAAAAGACTTGCTTACGTTGATTCAAAAAAGTTTACAGTTTATTCAAGTAAAGATTTTCCCGGTATAATAGGTAAATAAATAATCACTATAAATTTACATATTAATATATTTTTTATTATTAATACGTATATTTATTTTATAGAAATGTCAAAATTGGCACAATCTTTTGCTGCTCAAGGTGTTCCAATTCGTTTGAGAAATCATAAAAATATAAAAGATCTGAAAGGCTCCACATCTACTAAATCCAAAACAAACGTAGAAAATTCCTAAGATATTACTTATATTTTATATTTCATTTATTTATTAATTTTATTTACGCACACATACAGATATATATACTAATAATGCACATGCATACATAGATACATACACACATATAAGATTTTTTTTTTAAAGATTATGGATTGATTGATTATCATTATGATTTGATAAAATTACGTGTCATAAATTAAATTGTGTAGTGGTATTGCAATAAAGTACATTAAGAGCTAAAAAAAATTTGATATATAAACATATACAAATTTCCTTATTTCTTTCTCTCTTTTTCTATATCTCATTTGCATACTAACTTTTTAACAAGTATTATTAATATTAGAATACAAATTTACAATTATATAAAAAAACTAAACTAGCAATATGAAAATTAATTTTTATAATTATATCATCACCAAAAAACATTTCAATTCATCCAAAGTGTGTATATAATGATATTTATCATCTAAATTAAAAGAGGTCTTGTGATGATGATGATGATAATAATAATAATAATAAATTCAAATTCCAACTTTATACACTTTCTAACCTATTAAACAAGTGGACTGACTGTGTAATAAATGTCCAATTATTTTATTAAATTACCAGGCGAACTGGATCTTTTTGATATTGAGGGTCCAGTGTAAATTGACAATTGGTGTAGCTGTATAAAATTTAGAGAAAGATGGTAAAATGAAACAAAAGATGGTGGTTGCCAAATGAGGATTCCGAGACAGTTAGTTGCACATGAAATTCATAATGTGTTGATATACTCAACAACATCATGTGCTTTGATCATGATTGATACATGGGATTATGCAAGTCTAGTCTGTTTGAACAATATTTATTGGTCATTCCAGCTGTAGAATTTCCATTTCATGGCCATTTATATGATATTAACTCTTGTACCAGCTGTTCCAATTAGCGTAACTGCCCTATAAAAAGTTTAGATACTAAGTTTTTTTTTTATTAAATTATTCCCAAAACATACAGCGCAAGTCACTTGTGATAAAAGTAAAAACAATTTGTTTCTTCCATTTTTGGAGGAATAGAAACTACACTAACCCGCTCATCCTTTGTTTTGATTGGTAGAAATTTATCCTAGGTAGGTGATCCATTACCATGGAGGAATTAGAGTTCAAAGGATGACCTTATCACATTACCCTCAGAAGCACTAAAAATCCCTTATCCTAACCTTTACTAGTATAAAGATAGTCACATTTCTGCCCAATCAAAATAAAGAATAAATAGGTTGTTTTAACTGAGGATGATATGGTAAGACACACCAGCTCAAAGTTGTACAAATTTACTATGTTAACCCCAAAGTTGGGTCTGCAACTAAGAAGTTGCAACTGACCCTGTAAAAAACATTGATCTGTGATTTGAAATTCCATGCTTTCTCCAGAAATATATCATTATAATATTCATGGAAAATTCATGGAAGATTACAGAGGAAAGTCACTGTTGCAAATTTGTGGAAATTTTCAGGAGTATTTCTGGAATTAAAATTCAAATAACTGACTATTTTTTTTTATAGGATTGTTGCAAAATTTAGAACATAAGAGCTTGGGGTGTCTTACATTATATGATTTTACAAACATAGTCGATCACATATATAAATTTTCATATGACAATTTTTTGCCGATCTTTTTTTTCAATAGTAAACTTTGAATGATTATAACTCTTTAAAGAATAGAGATATTGACTCCGAGTTAAGTTTAAAACATACTAGAGAAATAGGACAATAAAGTAATAGAGCCCTTTTTTTATTTTAATATAAACAATGGCATTTATTTTAAGCTAGAAAATCCAAGTAAAAGTTGCGAATATATGTTACAAAATTTTATGCAAGTAAAATTGTAAAAAGCTCCCTATTAGTTTAAAGAGCATCAAAAAGTGAATCTAAAACATAAACTTTTATTTGAATATAACATATAGTTTAAGAGTTATTTTGAGTTTTGTAATTTTGCGAAGTTTGCCAATTTGTATATATATAATAAATTTAAAAATTTTTTTTGTGGCACCAAAAATCCGCAAAACCCCTAAAAAATCCTTATTAATGAAAATTTATATACAGTGAATCATCTATAAGTGTTTGCTGGGTAATTACAAGATTTTCATTGATATATAATTACAAGATGTCAAGGCAGCATTGACTGTTGCAAAAGAAACAATTTGATATGCAATGTTTGATTATTGGAAATTTTTAGAGACATTGAAGCATGCATGCTACCTTGAACACTTTACAGTCATTCACACATGTTCCTCATGTACACAAGGCTAACCTGACTTGCAATGCCTGATGATATGATGATGCAACAGAATTCCAGGGGGTCGCTCTGCCCTGGAGCTACATTAAAAGTCAAACAATATGTCACAGGAAGTGTAATTACATATCAGTCACAGGACATTGCAGATCTACAGAGGGTCAAGTGTCACTCACTAATAAAATTTTTTTGGTCAACACGGAATTTTATATGAAAAAATGAAGAAAAAAATCACACTTTCATACACAAACTTGCCTGATTTAATCAAAT